CTTTCATTTAAAAGTATTTATTGGCTTCAATTGGCTTTATTTGCCATAGCAATGCACCCTTAGACTGTACTCCTGTACACACTTGCTTGACATGCACATGGTGGGCATGTTGTGAGCGGAGCTGGCTGGAGCCGGGGGTCAGACTAGATGGCCCAGGAGACCCCTTCTGACTCACTCTGTTTCTATGACTAACCACCATGGTCCTCAGCAGGATCAATGTCTGAGTCTGGGGTTTATCAGTAAAAAATAATAGTAAGTGCAACCTTCCTAACTCAATTTGGGCTTCTGCCACTGGAAGCACAACTCAAATCCATCTTAAAATGGGATGACTTAGAAGCCTGGCAAACTCCTCTGAGCATCCACAACAAACTTCTATGTGCTTCTGTCTTCTACTCGCACCAGATTCCCTTCTCTGATATAAACGCAAAAGAGTCCTAGACACTCTATAATTTTCCTCTGAGGGTGGATAATAACTGTCACTAAGTATAGCTAAGAAACACTAGTGTTTTCAAGCTGATTACTATAGTTGGAAATGTTGAAATACTCTGTCAGGGTGGGCAAGTTGTGGCCCTCTGAATAATTCCAGCCTACAGTTCCCATCAGCTTTAGCCATAGATCCATCTCTGGACATGCAGTCGCAATATATTCTGACACTTTACGGCTTCCATCCTTGAGGTGGAATGGATTCTCCTGCTTCGGCAGGAGAATTTCCCTCCTTTGCTGTAGCAAGCAGGACCTGAGGTAAAGCCAAGCTGTGGGATATGGAGGAATGGAATGGAGCAGGACCCTGCTCTGCACGTCAAGCCGCTCAGGCCATCTTGTGCTAGGCTGGTGGGCACAGCCAACACCTCTGCCCTCAGAAGTGGCTCAGGACAAAACCTGCCCCAGGAAAAGAGGGAGTCATGAGGAAAGGAGGATGAGGGTTGTGTAGTCAACACAGAACGAAAGGATTGCTGTGAAGCCAGCCAGTGGCAGAGTGGGAAAAGGGCTTTCCTGGATGGAAAGGTGCGTGCTCTATGTGTCTCACAACCACATTTGTTGTAAGAAGAGAAGGGCTATGTGTGACTGTTGTGGGAACAAGGGACAGGAACAGCCTTATAATCAGGAGTCTGAGGCAGGTGGTTCAGGTGGCAGATGCTGAGGAGCTGCAACATGAGGTGTTGAAGAACTGGGGGCCATGTGGCCTTTTCTGAGGTCCCTAAACTAGCTTCCTGCCTTGACTGTGCTGTGCTGTCCCAATGCAGTTTCAAAGAACGATCAGACTATCGGTCTTAGTTTTCTGTACATGAATGGGAGGGGGTGCTGTCCTTCGCCTCCAGAAGTGAAATGTCTTGGGTCAGCTGAGACACAGGAGTAAAGTTCTCTTGAACTTTGGACCTTCATGTTCCAGTGAGATTTCTCTGTTACTCTGGCAGAGCAGCAGTCCACACACACAAAAGGCAGCTCAGGAGGTACTTGTGAAAGGCTACTCCAATGGGCCACTTGATTGCTCACAAACATGGAAGGGAAAGTCTCCCTCAGCTGCTTCACACAACAGGTTGGGATAAAAGAGTTTAAAATTATGCGCAGAGTGGAGAAAATGGAAAGGAGGGGTTATTCTCCCTCTCTCACAACTCTCAAACCTGGGGTCATCCTATGAAGCTGACTGGGGAAAGATGTAGGAAAGGCAAGAGAAAGGACTTCTTCACACAACATACAGCTAAATTATGGAGTTTGCTGCCATGGGAATTAGTGATAGACACAAATCTAGAAGGCTTTTAAAAAGGATTGAACAGGTTCGTGGAAAGAGAGGCCTTCTCTGGCTATGAGCTTGACTGGCTATGTGTTACCTCCTACACCAAAGATGACATGCCTGCTTTGCACCAGTTAATGAGGAGCCTGGGCAGGAGCAGGTCTTGCACCCATCCTGCTTGAGGGATCCTGTGAGCAGTGGGTTGCCACCGTGTGTACGGGATGCTGGACCAGATGGACCTTTGGCCTGACCCAGCATGGCTTTCTATGTGTCTGTTCCCTTTCATGGAGATCCCGTGAGGAGGAAGGAAGCCGCAACCCGTTCTGTGAAGAAGCAGAAACCTGACACTTGCTTCCTACGGAAAACAATCCCGAAGTGTATTATGTAAACCAGCTACAGAGCCATGTGGCTACAAGACAGTATATAAAAGTGCTAAATAAATAAATAATGAATAAGTGCAATGGGGGACTCTTCAGGAATGGGATATATATATATAGCACCAGCTATTTCCACTGTATATTTATGGAAATTTTATAACTATCAGCCAGTACAAACGCACCCCATTGCCTTTTGAGTAGACAGGCCTTGTACAAGTCCTGCTGGCTTATATCAGCGGTGCATCAGTTTCACTATCATGTTTTCTTGCAAAAATCCAGCCACTGTAATTGAGCAAGAATGCCATTAGAAATATCCTAGAAGTCCCCTTGGAAACCCAGCTTTCAGGGTGTCCAAGCAAAGGAAAATGACTGTTTTATCAGATAAAACGTGTGCAGCAGATAGTCCTGAAGAGCAGGTTCAGACCATCCTCAGTGGCACTTTGTCAATTTCAGCTAAAGGCAGGCACATCTATGTGGACAGACGATGGGAAAAATCCAGCCAAATAGTTCTGCAGAGCATTGTTCGCTTCACAACAGAATCAACAAGCAGAATCAACACTCTCTCTGTGTGTGGCTAAATGTTGCTACAGTGGCCGTGGAACTAACTCAGGAATGCACATGGGCAGGGGTACCTCAGTTCTTGAAAAGCACTTCTACCTCTTATGAGGAAAGCTGCTATGGCAGGGGAAAAGTTACCCTAAAATATTTCACCATGGTATGTTACAAGCTTCACAGAACCCGGCAGAGTTTGGAGCGAGTCAGCATTCAAATGAACCAAAGGCTGGCTCTTTTGAAGCCATGTTGGCCTTACTATGTGTTCCAGGCATCCTGTACCACCACAAAATTGACTGAAATCATTCAGCTAACACAGTGAGAGTGCGCTGCCAAACATGTCTACTGGAAAGTGAGTCCCACTGAGTTCAGTGGAGCTTACTCCCAGATCAGTGGGCTTGCAGCATGCAGCAGGTAATGTAAAGTGCTTTACAGTGTCCCTGAAAAGATTCTGCCACATGTTTAACTGCCCCACTGAACTCTGTAGGGTTTAGGGTGCAGTGTTATACGCACTTATCTGGGAGCAAGTCCCACTGAACACAAGCGGGCTTACTTCGGAGTAAACATGTATAGATTGTTCCAGGAGTGCTTCACGTTGGCTGCAAGACATCATTTCTTTGTAAAATATGGACCCAATGTGCCCCTTCTTAGATGAGGTTCGCAGACTGTTATAAAATCAAATATGGGAGAAAACATTTATTGACGTTCATTAAACTTCCAAATGAAGCACTAGGATTTATGAGGCACACAAGAAATTATACCACCAGTTAAGGAATCTTCATCCAGAAATCCTTCTTAGCTCAGACGACTATGTCTGCCTGTATATTATTCTCTGGAAACAGAAACATGTAAAAATGCCAATGTTCTGTGTTTCTGAACACCCCATGTGGCGTCCCTAACACTGGCAGCAAGAGTCCATGCTGCTTTATAGATCCCCGCCCTGAGGAACTTACTGTCTAAATTTCACTAGAGAGATGAGAGGAGAGGGCAAGAGAAGATATGGAAATGCAAAATATGGAGGTTTCTTTCAAGGGCTAACAAATGCTTCATGGGAAGTGTGTTTGTTTTGCAAAGGCATTTGGAGAATGGGGGAGAGGGATAAAGATGGTTTCTGTAGATGTATCAGCCATATGGAGCAGAGCTATGCTACCCACACAAATCTGGGTGAAAATAATATAAAGGGGGTGATTTGAAAGAATAGCTAGTCGGGGTAAACCTGGTGCCAGCCCTGATATTGGCTACCTCTCTGCAAATGTTCCTAACTGAAGCTTCCTTACATTCTGCACTATACCTTTGCAGGAAGGGCAAAACCCGTATAGTTCAACAATATCCTCTTGTTTTACTGTTTGAATAGATTTTCAAGCCATTTACCTAAAACCCAATTGATCTTATCCCAAGCCTGGTCTGCATTTCCCAAAGATGGTTAATCATCATGATGCAAGGGCAGTGACTGTTGTGTAACTGAAGGTCTGGTGGTTTGGGAGGACTGAACCAGTTTCTAATAAACTATAAATAGCAGAAGCAAGACTTTTAGGTCTCACATTTAACGTTTTAAAACCCCACACACACAATTTGGGATAATGTTGCCCGGTCGTTTAGCATTCCAACAGGGCCGCAAAGAGAACTGGAAACAAAACAGCAAAGCAAACCTAACGTGAAGCGAAAGCTCACCGTCTGGGGCTCAGCTTAGGGGCGACGACAAGAGAATTCGCCTGCCCGGGTCCCTGGGCACCGGAGAGCATGCTCAGTGCAACTGCGGTCCTACGGTGCAGGCTCGCCAGCGAAGTGGATTAATCGGGATTGTGGGAAGGCGGCGGGGGGGGGGGGCATGATTAGGACTGACATAGTTCCAAATCTCCATTACTAAACGCATTCCTCTTGCTGTCCAGGCTTTCCTGCCCTCCTGCCGCGCGCTCTGCATTTAACAAGGCTGCAGCGTAATTAACTGTTGCGTCCTGATGGATTAGCCAGACGAAACGATTCCTTCGGGGGACCCAGGAAATGCAGAGTGCGCGCCTTTCATTCACCCTTCCACAGGACAGTGCCCAAGAGCCGCCCACAAAGCGCATGAGTGTGTGTAACAATTTTAAATGGTTTTTTTTAAAGGAACGCCCTAAGAATTAAGTTGATCGCTGCAACTGACTGTTCTGTGGCAAACCTCGGCGCAGGGTTTCTAGAGTGGGGCCAGGCGAGCAGCGCGGAAAGGTCCATGAAAATCGCAAATTCTCGCTCCGTCCCTAGCAGAAGGGGAGGAAGGGGCCTTTTGCAATTTCGCGCGCCGGATACCCCCGGAGATATCGGACCTGTGTGTCTGCAGAGCGCCGAGTCGATGACCTTACCTTGGGCCAGGCTGTTGGCAGGCTGGCAGGCATCCCGGCCGCTTCGTGAAAGCGGATCTCCAGCCCCGTTTGGCCGCAGCGACCGAAGCCAGCTGGGACGCTCTGCAGCCTTATCCTGGCTGTGCCGCCGCCGCCACCTCTTCGAGGGGCTGAACGCCAAAGGCCACCAGATCCCGCCTTCAAGCCAACGCGGCCGGCGATGCGCCTGGCCGAGGCTTGCAGCACAGCGCCGCGGCCGCCGCTGCGGGAAACATCCCTCGTCCAGCACCTCGCGGGGCGCGGGGACGGGATCTGGACGGGCGAGCCTCCAGAGGGCTGCTTATCAGCCTCCCCACTTCTTGGCGCGGGGAAAGGGGAGTGTCCTTGCACCGTCTGCGACTCCCTGTGCGAGGAAACGGATCGCCCGGTGTTTTCCGAGCAGGGAATCGTGCGCGCGCGCACCCGCCCGCGAGCACTCGTTTCGGTGAGCGCGCGCGCGCGCGTGAGAGAGGGAGAGGGAGAGAGAGAGAGACTCCTGCAGGCGCGCGTGCGAGATGGCGCGCGCTCCATCCGGGCAAGGCATACCGCGCATGCAAAGCGCCGGGCTCGAGGCTGCTTCCCCGTCGCGTCGGGATCCTGAGAGAGGGGCCGCAAGCGGAATGCCTTTGTTTTGAGATCGCGCACTACACGTCAGCCTTCCTCCAGATGTGTTGGGCTGCGACTGGGAACGATGCGAGTTGTAATCCCACACGTCCGGCAGGCACCACGCCGAAGAAGGCCGCTATACACGCACGCACGCACGCACGCACACGCGCGGTCCCCGAGCAGCGCCGTGCGCGGCCCTGTGTCACGAGGATCTGCGCGAGGATGACCCCTTTGTTTATCCTTTGACTGATCGCGCCTCCCGGCGCCGCCCTTTAAGCATCCCTCGCGGAGCGGTCCTGTTTGTTGAGTTCAGCGGGGCTTTCTCCAGTGTAAGTGTAAGCATAATCGCAACGCTAAGGACCTTTTTGAAAACGTTGTTCTTAACTAGCTTTGAAACACCTCGTAGCTCGTGGATCTGGAACCAAGGTGCAATATCTGCCTCTTTCCTAGATAAAACGGGAAAGGGCTTGGCCTCTCGCCCACGCCCTTTAGGGCCTGAGAAAAGCAAATATTATAAACCTGTTGCTGCTCACGGCGCAGAATGCCACTGCTTGTCAAGTAATCACAAGGGTGTTTTCCGAGTGCCTTTGCATTTCAGCAGTGCCTGGCATCCAATTTAACCTTACAACAGGGCAGAAAGGGCAGGTGTTCACACATGCCACTTACTGGCAAAGAGCCTCGACCTTTTTCAAGTCCCCACATTTCAGGTACTTCCCACCTTTGCTTGGAATGAATCCAGTAGATACTGCAGTAGCTTTACTCCCAGCTTAACAAAGCAGTTAAACCATGATTTTGGACCAATGCCTGGCTGGTGTCCCTCACTAGGCTGAGGAGGGACAGAATTGCCATGATTCCAGTGACGTCACTTAATAGGTAACCTTCATAACTTTAATATGTTAGTTACAATGTTAAAGATACAATCCTATGCCCCATCTGGGCTTAGAAAAAAGCCCTACAACTTCCAGTTTGCCCCAGCCAATGATGTCCTATAAAAAGTTGTAGGACTTTTTGCTGTCTACACACTCATAGGATCATGCTTTAATTTTACTGAAGAAATAAACTGAACAGACAGTATTAAACCAAATTTGAACATCCCCGGTGTTCACTCGCCAAATATCAGTCCATTTTAGCTGCCCCCATTGTGGAGGTTCACTCTTCCTCTCAGGCTGAGGACTGTGCTCTGACATTTCTCAGCATCATCCTGCTGCTTTTGCTGAATTTCCTTCCCCAGCTCCACTTCCTTGCTCTCCTGGTGTTTCCTCTTCTTCCTCTCTGTGCCTTCTCTCCCAGCAGCAGCAGCAGCAGCAGCAGCCATTTCAGTCTTACCTTTGGTGTCCTCTCTGTTCTGTTCCCCTGCAACTTTGCACCACTCATTTCTGAGGCAAGCCCAGTATAACATGTGCAATTTGGGTTAGAATCATCAAACATGCTATGGATATTCAGGACAATACCTAAACATTTCTTAATACTCATCTCTCCCCGCCACCATCCCTTTCTAGTGGGACTGTCAGAGTTGGACTTTGGGGAAGAAGCCTGGACCCCTTGTCAGCAGAATGAGCAGGGAAAGAGGTGAACGTGGCAGGGTTGTCTTACCAAATTTTAAAGTAAATGAAGTAATACACAATAAGTATTCAGACCCATGCTGAAGAGTCCAGTATGGCTAAGCATTTGTTGTTGTTGAGCTGTGGATTGTTGCTCAGTTATTGTTTTGTCTGAACCCAGCCATTCTGGGTTAACCATAAAGAGAACCCATGATTTGTGGTTGGGTTCTGAACTATGGGTTGTTTATGATGAACAAATCTTGGTTTGTTAGCATAACTCACATTTCAACAATAACTCAGGCCACACTCAACCCATACTCAGCCCTTGAATGTGGGCAAACCGAACCAAATAAAAAACAAAAGAGGAAGACCCCTGAGACATTAAATGCAGAGTCTCAAACTACCTGTCTGTTCCATTGCCCCCTCACATCTACTTCCTCACATCTACTCCTGTTTGAAATGAACAAGTTTAACTTTGGGTATATTTGCTCCAAATGAGGCACTCTTTGTATCAAAAGAATGCTCCCACTGGTGAGTTTAAGTTCCCAATAGAACTCAATGGCAAATCTAAATTGAATGTGCATGTTCACAAAACTATACTACATCTTATGGCACCTTCTGGAAAAATACATGCAAGTTGTTCATTATAAGATGTTGCTCAACAATGCAAGTCACTATTTGCCTACCGTTATATGGGGCTAGAACAAAGAGCAGGACATGGGCATGGAAAGAAGCCCCCTGCCAAGTTCCCTAAATGCCCAGCTGCTGGTTAGATCTTTGTGTATTGAGTGTAAAAGTCTGCAGTGGCCTGTAAGTGTGTTCAGTTGAACTCAGAGACATCTGCTTTGGAAGTCCCAGTGAGCAAGGTTTTGCAGCCATGGGGGCTCTGGAACTACACTGGATATTGTTACCATGGAGCTGCGATGCTCTTTTGTGCACTGATTAAATGCCTGGGCTTGCATGCAGCTGTGGCATCTCATGAGGCCATTCTTCCTGAGGTTGAAGCATATGAACAGGAGTGACCCTAAACTTAGCCAGTCCGCACATGTTAGGTGCATGCCATTATTGGCATGATGGCTGGACACTTGACAATGCCTGGCATTCAGCCCAAGCACCTGGCTAAACATAACCTTGGAGATGCTGTCCAGAAAGTGTATAACCACAGAAGGCATCCTGATTCTTGTATTCCCCCATGCTGGCACTGAAATGGTATTTTGCATTGTAAACAATTGCCTTGGGGAAATGTTTAAAAAGTACCGCATGGCAAGATAAAGCCAATTTACACATGTCCATCTGTCTTTTCACGATGCTTTACATAATAAATTGCAGCTAAATGTAAAAGCCAGCTCCACTGGAAAGTACTGTTTGAAGCAACACGGCATGGAGGTTCTCTCTCTTGTGCTTGATTTATGACAGCTCATTCATACATTCATTTATCAGGTGATAAGTGTGCAGCATGTGAGAACCAGCTTGCAATCCTCTCTAGCAGCAATAACTGGTTTGTGAACTACAGAAGGGAAGGGAAGCAATGAGCAAGAAAAATCAATGCATCGTTTGGAGGAAACACTGAAAAATAAAGCTATCAAATCAAATGAATGAATCTACCTTGGGATTTTACACAGTATTAGAGATATTGAGGTGGGAGTTAGGATTTTAAGCAGCCCATTGGTAAAGAGTGCGTGCAAGCAGAAATATGAGGAATGACATGGAAGGAATACACAGAGCAGTTTTTGTTTTTGTTGTGTTTGATTCATTGAAATTCACAAAACGTTAATGAAAAAAGAACAATGGATGCACATTGCTATTCCACAGAAAGCCACACCACTATGTTACTTCCAAATAGTTCTATCCTCATAGCTTTCCACTTTTGTTTCTCCTTACTGATACTGGCATCCTCATATTGCTATTGGCTGTACTGATAGTCTCTGTTTCAAGGGAATGTCTTTTATCTAAGATGTGCTCCCTGCTGACTTGGGACTTACTAAGCAAGTGGACAACCAGTCAAATGTCCATTGACAAATCTGAACAAATGAAGAATGACAACAGACTGGAATGAGAGTGACATGCAGTGATTGGGCATAGCGCTTGACAGGTGAACACCAATTAATTAGGCTTCAACAGGCCACCTACGACATAACAAGAGGCAGAAAAGGGGAATGAGACAGGAATCACTCAACTTACACAGCCCTGATACCAGAGTTCTGGTGTACCATGTTTCAAGTATCATTTTGAGGCCTCACCATGACTTTCTATACTACAGAAGCCATAAAATAAAACAGACTTCCTTTCTCTGATGCCCCTCTGCTGTTTTAGACTTCAGCCAGCATGGGCCATAGGTGAGATGCTGGAAGTTGTCATCCAAAACCTGAAGATTACCAGGCTGAAGAAGGCTGAAGTAAAGCATTAGGCACTAACTCAATGATCTCTGATCAAGCCAGGACACTAAGGAAATCCATTTCCATTGTATAAGCATTGGATGGGTTCACATAGCACGCTAAGCCTCCCTGCAAGCTACACAGTTTGGATTTTCAGAACAGTCCACAGTGCACCTGACAGATGATCGGGTTCACCATGGCTTGTCCTCTCCCCACTTCCCTCTCAGTGCTCCAGCTGGTACCCCAGTGTCAATTGCTGTGGAGCCCAGCTTGTTTCATGCTCCCCATGCCAATCATTACTTCTCTCTATTTTCCATCATTCTTTTTTGGAATTTCAAAACTGCACGAGTGGGATCTTTTTTCTCAGGCCCAGAGAATTGCACATACGTGTTTGTCATTCAAAATCATCATCATCAACAATAACATCCTTGATCTGCAAACATCTGGGGGGGGGGGCAGCTAGCAGGAGGGATGGAGGGAGAGACCATAAAACAACCTAATTTGGATTGTATGTATTCACCATAGAAGGCAGACTGATTATTTGGGGCAGAAGAAGGGGGATGCTGTACAAGAGAAGGAGGCCATGGTTGATTAAAACCCCAAGATGGAGCACTGCACACAATCACATTTTGGGACAGATTCTATTTATGTCGACCATATTTCAGTCAGTTCCCTCCCTCACACACACATTCAGGCAGAATAGATTTCACCAATGTGGTTTTGCTCTATGATGCCTCCATATAACTAAACTAGCAGCCAAACCACTTATTAGATACTGAGCCCTCTGATGTCACCCACTTGCCCCATACCACACTGGATGCAGCACATCAGCCAGCCGTGCGAACAGTCCCAATGTCGCATCCACAACGGGGCTTGCACTGCTTAACTTCCATTGAAGTCAGGTAGGTACCTGCACAAATGATGTGAGAGATGGGGGTGACGATAGCTAATGCATTTGTTAGGTTTTCCAGAAACAGCACCTTGGCCCAAATCACATACAGTGCCTAGTGATGGTGAACCGTAGCAAGTGCCATGTTTTCCAAGTAATTACATGAATTGTCACCAATATGCATTTAAAGCATTGGTGTATTAAAATAAATGCAGTGGAATGCTTGGCTAAGGGTCATATTCAGTGTTAGTCCTACTTAGAATACACCCCTTGAAATAAATAGAACCTAAGTTAGGCTAACATCGGATACCACCCTTTCAATGAGGAGCCATTTTTGAGGATAATTTCACCCAGAATGTTACAAATGTAACCTCTGAACTCAATAAGTTAACATACTTTTGAGAACTTGTTTATTCACAGTTTTCTTTATTAAACATTTTGCTGAGTTTATTGTGGACATAAATACATTTTTATGGCTCAGGTTATAAGACATATACTGTTAGATGTTAGAAAACACTTTAATGCAGTGTAGTGGTGACACTGGCTTCACTTACTCTTCTTAGGATTTTTGCATTTTCAAGAGGAATCAGAAGCAAAATCTGTTCCACTTAGCAACACATTTATATCTGTTTGTTGACTCTAAAATCACGTTCTCATTGGTTTGCATCCAACATCAGAGAAATTCCACTTTGCAATATGTTATAAAACAAATATTGTATGTTGCATTTAGTTACTGGTTAGCATTTTAGTCTCTACTTATATACAAATTTAAAAGATACTGTAAAGCTCTTATTTGCCATAACATTTAACAGCACGTACATCTTGTATAAATCTTGTTGAATGGGTTCCCTATTGAATGGGTTCAATGGCTGGGATGCAGACTGCTAGCCCAGTGGAGGGCCTTTTTTATTTTAAAAAGTTCTGTATTTTGGACTGCTGAGCCCAATGCACTGTCACAAAATGTGTTTTTTAAAAGCCCCTTCATCAAAAGCCATTTCCATATACAATTTCTGCAGTGGAGTCATGCTGTCAGAGGCAAACAAATAAAATCAACACCTGGCTTCAAGAGGCCTGCTTCACATCTCGTTGGATCTGGGCCAATGCTAGTAAAGTCAATGGGGCGCCTCACAGCAGGAAACTCAACCAGTTACATACAGCTTTAAGGGGTGTAACTTTGGCATTTATATTCCTAAAGCTACAATGAATGACAAATAAGGTCAGTCCTGCTTTTGTTATTTTTGAAGGAATGGTACTTGATAGGTAGACTAACAAGAAAATATAGGCAAGTTCTGTCACTACTGGCTTGACTGTAAGAAGGAATGATCTCTGTTTTGCACTACATGTGCCTAATTGGAATCTCATCTGTTTGGAGAATGGATTGTTTGGGAATAAGAAATGTATACATTTGTTCATTCCTTTAATAAAGAATATTCAAACCTTCTTGCTGACCTCTGTATATTTCTCCAGTAAAAGACTGAAGCTGTTTAGATGCTGTTTGCTAGGTTGTATAGAAAAACCACATCTACCTTGGAGTACCTGCTCAGTGACACTACGCTTGAACCACTGACCCTGGTATCTTGTCCATAGCTAGGTCCTTGCCCAGAAATTAACATTGCAGCACACCAGGTTTACTGTTGATGTGTCCATGGCCTGGCAATCCAAATGTTGCATAAGAATTTGTGTAGAAGTGTGAGCATTTCCCATATTCTCTTTAACAGATATGAGCAGACTTCATGTTTGGAGGATCTACTCTGCCTTTGTACCCTAAAACCCCAAAACGAATTGGAGTCCTGTGCAAAGCAGTGGCTCGTGCGGGATGCCAATTACTCACTGCATCCCATGTGCTCTACAGTGAAATTATCCTCATGTACAGAGTTCAAATCTACTTTGACTTATTACAGATCAGGGATTCTGAAGCCTAATGTACACTTCTTTAAAGCCTTTCTGTTGTTGATATTCTTAAAACCTGCGTGAGTCAGAAACCATGCTGCAAATACTCCAGTGGTCTACTATCTTCTGTCTGCTCCTGTTCTGTCCCTGGTAAAATAAATCCACATTCCTGGCTTGTCAATTGGTTTTCTGCCTTGGCCCATCATCTGCTGGTTTAAGATTATTAGCAAATATCAAGCTAAATGTACACATGCAATTAGCCAAAAATACATCCTCCCATGATAGGCCTTCCCGACAGATACTCACCCTACACCAAGAAGTGAATGAGTTGAGACTAGATGAGTCTAGCTTCAGCAGCACCACCACTGTGATCTAATTTCTTCCGGTGCGTGGATTACTTATTGCTACCGTACATTGCCATCAGCTCCTTGTAAATCCTCAAACCTTCTACCCCATCCCATACTAGAAGTGAGTCAGTACTAGCCAACTGCTGTGCTTCTTTTCACGGTCCGCCCCCCCCCCCCACCCAAAACAAAAATATCCTGAGCTGGTGGCAGTTGTGACAGCCTTAAGATGATCTATAAATGACCACACCATGCAGATGAGCTCTGCCTAGTCTCAGGCTCCAAAGCATCAGGCAGCACGCCCAGCTCGTCAGCTGACTACCAGCCCTAGTAGCATCTATTCAGAGCAGCGGAAGCAGCGTGGGGACTGGAGGAGGCATGCCCCAGGATTGCAATAGCTGGCTGCAAGCCTCTACAATAATCACCCAAGAGCCGTAATCGCACTGGAGAAGGCTGCCTTGCCTGTGTCTGAATCCCAGGTATCTGTGGCATTTGCGAAGGCTGAAAGAGAGCATATGCCGCAAATGGAACAGGATTCTGTATCTCATTCCAAGACTTTTGTGTAGCTTGCCAGAAGGCATTTTTCCCCCACAGATAAATGACAGTGGGTTTTGCCTGTAGATATGAAGTTCCCTTTCAACAGGCAATGACATATTTGCGTAGGATTATGAATTCTGTTAACTTACAGAGCATCATGGCCTATTAATGGTATAGGTCACTTCATTTTGCTACTTATGTTTCTTTGATTCCCACCCTCCTGCCATGTTAATTAAAATGTATATGCTTTAGACAAAAATGGTGCACACTGTACTGTCAGCAACATTGTACTGTTTCGGTGTTCATTTAATACATATATATGAATAACTCTTGGTACCTACTAAAAATCTGCATTCAGTGTAGGGATTTCCCCCCTAGCAATTGGGAATGACAAGACAGTGTAAACAAAAACAAAACAAAAAATGCACATACACACAAATGATTTTAGTAAAAAGTGTAAAACCTATATATCATATTTCAACATTTATTTTCTGCAACATTTATTTTAAATACTAAACATTAAAATTAGTTTTAACTGTTTCTTTCAAAGGATATAAATTTAAGGTTGTATTTAACCAAGCTATATATTTTTTTGTTTTTGTTTTGCCTAACTCTTCATTGAGGAAATATATTACATGTTTCTTGACCCTCTAGAATTAAGCTAGTGTATAATTATTGTTCAAAAATGTTTGGTAAAAAGAACAGAACTACAATACCCAAGAAATATCCATCAATGGGATGCTAGTCGATCCTTTCCCTCATTTAGTGTTATCAAGCCCATAAAATTTGAATATAAATAATAATGGCAAAATTGTAAAAAATACCTTTAAAAATCATATTTCTGTTACAGAACTTCAACCATTCATTAAACATTTTCAAATTCAGTTCTGAAAGACATTTCTTAGGATAGCTTTAGGAAGATTAAACAAGTAGGCCACCTCACCAACCTCAACATATACTAGTTATGAGTAGACTTTTGCAAGAAGTGGCATTTAACGAAGAACTCATTCTGAGATGATGACACCAGAATTCTCTTCTGAAGAAGCTTCATCATAATAAAATTAGACTTTCTAAATTAAAGCAGATGTCTTTGACAAAGTCACACTGGGTCAGGATTTTAGATCTTTAATAGTGGAATCTGCCAAACCATCACAGACGAAACTAGTTCATCTGGTCGCTGCTGCTTAGACTTCTTGTTGACTCTTCTGTGTCCCTGTCCTCCAGAGATGACTAAGACAGAGATTGCTTTCCCTTCTTTAGAATGGCGTTTCCTACTCTGGTTAATAGAGACTTCTTTCAAAAGCTCATAGATGGCACTCTCCTCAGGCTTGTGTTCAGTTGTGCTTGATGTCAGAGACCCAGAAGAGGAAGACAAGTCACTTCTTTGAGCAATGGATCCTACAGAACCTCCCAGCCAAATAGCACTTTCATTTGGGTTGCTTAGAGAACTAGGCCTCTCATTCTGAACAATATTCTTTTGATCTTCATCTTTCAGTCCGGAATGAGGACGATTCAAACTATGCCTGGATTTGCTTTTGCTTCGCTTGTTTGTCACAGAGGCCATTACAAGAAATTTAACAGGGCCATTATGCGCATGGTGGGAGACCATTCCTCTTCCTACAGCCAAAAGGAAAACAAACAAAAAAACTTTATTAGAAAGAAGAATTAATTATCTTGGCCACCAGCCTTTCACTCAATCCTGAGCATGTTTTAAAGAGAGGACGCCTGTACAGGGAACATTCCTGGAGAGCGAGCAAAAATATTACCAAGGTGTAGTATTTCTTTCCAGATTTTTATGTCAATTTGGGTTTAGGGACCATCTCCCTTGTGGTTGCACATTACAAGCATTTGAGGAAACACAGTTTGACAATTTACAACAGTTTAAACGTGGTTCCCTTGGCTTCAGTTCCTATCATCTCCACCCAGTATGGTTTATGGTCAGGTTGTAGTCCAAAACATCTGGAGGGTACCAAGCTGGTTCACCAGCTCTAGAAATTAAATATACCATGGAAGGGACCTCTTAATACAGAAACTGATTTTGGCCAGCATCCCATAACAAGGTTGAGTTCCTGACTACTTTCTTTTGACTCCATCTCCACTCATTAGATCAAATAGATCCTTGCCATCTATAAAAACTTGTACATCACTTTCCTGCTCTTGTTGAGAAAGATTCAGTCTGTGTTCCTAGTTCTCTTCCCATAGTTGTGATCTTTCCCTGGTGTTACCCTTCCAGCCTGCTTACCTAGGCCTCATTTTACACATGCAAAAGAATAATACTGTTGATTCTAAAATGTACCGCACCACTGCAAGTTGCAAGTGGGCAATGTTTCTCCCTATAAACAAATCCCCAGGAAACAGAAAATAAGCACATCATGATGGATGTTCTCCTGCTGCACTTGTTTTCTATTTGCAGGGATTTACACAAGCATTAGAAAACCATTAACTGTTCACAGCAGTCCATATGCCCACCTCAGTCTACGACACATGTAGACCAAGACCTTTCTTCAGTCTTTCCAGAAACCTTCCCTTTCTTCCTATAATCTCCCTGAGGAATAATGAATGTAAATAAAAGTAAAACATATTGGGAGTGTTTGGCAAAGTAGCCTGTTATACTGAAGTTAACTTCTGGCTCTAGAACTAATCTGTAAAAACGAGAACGTGCAGAACTGACACTGACATACAGTTCATGCTTGTTCTCTGTTTTCATAACAGTATGAGTAAGAGAATCAGCTGAGTTGTTTTAGCTGGCATTTCCCTGTATCCGCATTGCTGGCTTTGTCCACAATCTACTGTCAAATACCTCATTTCAATAACCTTACATCACATTTGCTGCATACTTACAGGTTAGTGCAGGCAACAGTGAAAAGACTGCTAATGGTACTTGCATGCCAGATGAATGCTTAAATCATTCAGGATCCCGAACGGCAATGGCATTTATTCCACAAAGTATGTTATTACTGTGGTAGGCTGAAGTACAACTATAGCATTTTAAACTACAGACATTTGGCAAGCTGTCTCTTTACTCGTTAATATATGATCTGCTCTTTAAAAGCAGTTGACCAATAGTAACAACCAATTATGCTGAAATCAGAGTTAGTGGTGGGAGGGGGGGTTAGGGCTGACTGTCTGCTTGACTGAATTGCTTCTTAAATATTCTACTTACCAGTTACTTTTGGGATTCCCTGCAAACGAGGAACTGGGAGTGCTACTATAATCCCCAGATTTGTTCCAACCAGTAGTAAGCCATGGCATACTAGGAGGCTGGTCACAGAAACACGTTGCTGTCCTGCAAAATTGAGAGGGGATGGAATTACTCCAAAACTAGTATTCTTGCTATTACCAAACTGTCCCTACTGCAAGCAGTTTTAAGATCTTTGCTTTATTAATTTCTTTAAGCAGGTATCTATACTTTGCTTTGGTCTTAAATAAAATACAATAAATGGATCAATACCACTAGTTAGCATTTGATAAAGAGTCATCAGCCCAACCCTTGTATTATTCAATGTTTATCCAATCTAATCTATCTATATTTCAAGATGTGACTTAACTAAAGTAGGAATCAGAAATGCCTTTACATATAGTTTTTTTAAGTACCCAACACTAAGGTTAAAGAAAAGAGTGTATAGTGATGGGTTTGCTGTTTCTTAAATGTGTATATTGCCTACTTTTCTAATATAATTAGCATTATGTGTGGCATTCTGTAGATCAGCCTTCCCCAACCTGGCACCCTGCAGGTGTGTTGGACTACAACTCCAAGTTTGCTGGTTGGGCATGGTGGGAATCAAAATCCAACACATCTAGAGAGGACCAGGGTGGAGATGCCTTGGCTTGCAGATGCTGGGAAACATCATCCAGAACAACTGGAGGCTATGTGGGTGAGTGCTTTCCATTTACCATACTAGAGAAATCATTAGTATTTTGACTGTGGAGTCAACAGTATGCTGATGACACCCAGCTCTACCTCTCTTTTACATCTAATCCAGGTGAGGCAGTGGCTGTGCTGAACCGGTGTCTGGCTGGTGTGATGGGCTGGATGAGGGCCAATAGATTGAGACTTAATCCAGACAAAATGGAGGTCCTGTTAGTAGGCAGTTGAGCCTTCCAGGTAAGTGATTTTAGCTCTCTTCTGGATGGGGTTGCACTCCCCCTAAAGGACAGGGTGTGCACTTTGGGAGTGCTCCTCAACCCAGAGCTGTCCCTGGAGTTCCCAGTGGCTGCTGTGGCCAGAAGCACTTTCCTTCAGCTTCAGCTGATTCATCAGCTGCGCCCTTACCTAGGCAGAGCCTAGCAGCAGTGATCCATAATCTTGTAATCTCCGGATTGGACTATGAATGCTCTTTATGTGGGGCTGCCCTTGAAGATGGTCTGGATACTTCATTTGGTTCAGAATAGAGCAGCCAGGATGTTAACAGGGATCAGCAGATGTGCATGTATTAATGCTGGTCCTTTGCCATCTACACTGGCTACCAATTGAAGTCCAGGTCCAATTTAAGGTGTTGGTGATGACCTCTAAAGCCCCAAACAGGTTAAGACCTGGATATCTGAAGGAGCATCTCCTTCCCTATGTGCCTGCCCACCCCTTAAGATCTGGGTCAGAGGTCCTTCTTCGGGAGCCCTCCTTGAGGGAGATTAGGAGAGTGGCTACCCAGAGAAGGGTCTTCTTGGCAGTAGCACCTCAGTTATGGAATACGCTCCCCAGAGAGGTACACCTAGTGCCAACACTTTATTCTTTTTGGCACCTGGCTAAAACCTTTTTATTTTCCCAGTATTTTAAGGTTTAAATTGCTATGTTAATTGGGGGTTTACTGTATAGAAAAGATGCTGTGCTTTACTTTGTTTTATTGTAAAACCATCCTGAGACTACTTGGTAAGAGGACGGTATAGAAAAGTTTTAAATAAATAAAAAATAAATAAAATAAATTAATTTAGGCAACCGTAAGAATATACCTATGCATGGTTATTTGGAAATTAAAGCAGCAATCCTTGTGTGGGAACAAGACTTAGTGAATGCAATGGAACTTCCCTCTGCAAAGACATATAAAGGACTGCACTGTGTGTCTATTTTTTAGTAATGCTTCATCTAAGCATTGCTGCCTTGTACATAAACTGCAGAGATCCCTTATACAATAGTATGAATGAAGAAAAGCAATGGCACAGCAAAAGCTTCATCTGGAAGCATGGCCAACCACCTTTTAGATATTTAGCAGAAACCCAGGACTTCGACAAATGGCTACTTTTGCTCAAAAGGTTAAGGGGAGATGAAGTTAAGGGCTTAAAAAGCAGCCCTAGCACATGACAAAATAAAATGTGTGACTAAAGACTTATGCTGACCCCCAACCTTGGTCACAAATGATGACCCTGTGACATGGGTAGGTGTGCTACTTTCAGTCTCTTTTGTTCATGCCCTCAAGTACAAAATAGCATACTCCAAAATAGCATAGTCTCTCTCTTTCCTACTCCCGTTCATTCGTTGCACACTTCACCAATTATGTGAATGTGTGCTTCTTCCACAGTTGTATAATTCTGATGTCATTAAAAGAGAGAGAGAGAGAGAGAGAGAGAGAGAGAGAGAGAGAGAGAGAGAGAGAGAGAGAGTTCATGCATCCTGAGGGGCAAGTACCTTAGTTGGAGGGTAGTTTAAACATTTTCCCAACTCACTCTGCAGCATCATGTAACAGGAGATATTGTTTTGCTTCTGTTTACAGCATTAATTATAAACCAGATATCATTTTATTTTGTGGTTATAGGACATTTCTTACACATCTCTAAAGAACAAATATTAAATCCAACAATAAAATATTAATGAAAGCAGTATGCAAATTCTGAGAGGTAAAATGCCCAAGTTTTCCAACTGAATTGATCAGAGGGGAAGCCTTGAATAAAACTCAAAATAACCTCTTGCAGCCAGAAAATGAATGACACAGAGACGGTAACAGCAGGAAAGAAATGGAGGACATCACAGGAGAGTCATTAGGCCTCCTCAGTAATGCCAGAAACCCCCACCCTGAGTTGTTTGTAAAGGTCAAAATATGTAAATCTTCATTAATAAAATATTACCTTAGAATACAAATAGTTTACAGTGTTGATGCCTGCTGAAGAAGTGATTGTTCTGAATAAGTAACCTGTCACAATTTCATTAGCATATACATGTTTACACTTTGATAGCTTGTCTAAATAATCACATATTTTCTTTTATATTTTATTCAATATGTAGCCTTCCCACATTTTCCCAGGAAGAAATAACATAATTATGGAATTCCATCATATTGTTTAAAAATCAGGTAGGCAGGCTATTTCTGAACTCTTGCCAATAGCAGGGGTACACATGGAAATGGATTTTAGTTAAAGACACATCCGTTACTGATTATGGGTGCTCCCAGATGGAGCGGTCCTAACACTAAATTATGCAGCTCTCCTGTTTGGCTCCAAATTGTAAGGTCTAAATTATGTAAGCCAAATCCGATCTACATAAAGCCCCTTCCTCTCTAAAACTAGAGTCCTCTGTGTAGTTAAGCCACTCAGATCCAATGACAACCAAACTACATATTTATAAGAGTGCAGTAGTTTGATCTTCCAACTGATTTGTGTTTGCTCTAAGTCAGCTGTTGTGGGGCAGGGGGTGAGAACTGCTGATTTCTTCAGAGCAGATGTGGGTCAGAAGTGATGGTTAAACTTTTTCCCAGTGCAAATTGTAATCTTTTCCCAAGCTGATGTTTCCCCTCCACTGGGAAAAATACCAAGGAACCTGTGCTTTTCTGCTGCCAAACAGCAATGAGGCTGGGGGGAGGCATTTTAATAGGAAGCATGGCACGCGTGGGGGGGAGGGGAGCTAGCCACCTGCACAGCTGTGCTGAAGACATTGGCTGCACACACACACACACACACACGCACACTCACACTCCCATCAGCATTTCTGGAAAAAGCAAATAGGAGCTCATTCAGCCCCTTGGTATTCAGTCCCTCCTTCCACACTGTGTGAAGATGCTCTCCTTCCAGGCTGTTCCACAGAGGGGTTCCTCGCAGGGAACAAACGGACAGACCCATACGGGATCTATTCTTTCTGTGTCTGAATGCAGGGCCGCAAACCTGCTGGCAAGGCTACATACTGCAACCTCATGATAGAAACAGAGCACATCAAAAGGGGCCTCCCAGGCCATCTAGTGTGACCCTCAGCTCCAGCCAGCTTTGCTCATGATCTGCTCATGACTGGGCAAATAGGAGGGGAAGCCACATGGACTCCCCACTCACGCAAGGACAGGGTAATCAAGGTATGGATTTCCAATATAATATACATTTGGTCCTAATTTTGGCAGGTCTAATTAAAAAACTGTGCATAGTGCTACATTCATATAATTAATGTGATGCTTGTTGGGCTCTCTGCCCTTCTTGAACCCCCCCCTTAAAAAAAAAATACAGCAGCATCTATGAGGTAGGCATGCTGCAAATGAAAGTTTTGGCTCTTGTGCCATCTTTATTTCCAAGATATATCTTTGGACCACACAGGTAAACATTACTTGAAGCATGCCCAGCCACTCAGAAAGAGGAGAGAGAGAGAAAGAGGTATGCCAGCAAGAAATTCCGTCTACTACTTACATTTTCTCAGGCAGGCACATATATGAAAGCGTATTCTGTTGTATTTCACTGTCCAGCTCTTTGCTGCCTATCAGCCCCCACCCTCACTTGATAATCAGAATTTCCATGGTAAATATCTTCCTAAAGGAAACAGTTGGTGGTAGAGATTTACTATAGCTAGTCTCCAACAATTTTTGACAGGAGTAAAGACACAGAGGATCTATATAAAAACTTGAAGTTGTGCTTCCCCCTACCCCCAGCTGCCAAGAACTGAAATCAAAAGCCCATAATATCTTTCGTATAAAATTATGTGCTTGTCTTTTGTCTGCACTGTCTGCATATCCTCTGGCCTCTTGTTGATCTTCAGTACTTTGATGAAATGACCTTCTTGGGTTGGGTGGAGGAAGGCCCAAGGCCTGTCATGGCACCCCAGGACTACAGAGTGTCTAAATGAAGGCTTGCATCAGTCAAATAACATTGCTTCCACATGTGAAAATTGCAAGTGATTAGCCAGCAATCTAACATCTTGAATGCAGAAGGCAAGCTTGAGAATAAACAATAGGAAGTGAGGTTAAACGGAAATACCCTACTCTTAAAATGATGGAACAGTTGGGAAATGAGGAAACACCTGTTCTGGGATGTGAACATCTAAAACATATAATGGATGTAAGATGGCAAATGAATAATTTCTTTGTATGTTTTTAGATAATGGCA